GGGGTAGAAGCGGTATCCGCTCTTGTCTGGTAACTCCAACTCGTACGCGAACTGTTCGACCTATCGTTTGATCCGGAATGGTCCATGCCACCGATGTGCTAACTTCTTGGTGAGATCGGGTTTCACGCGTTGTATGTAGAGCCGCACTCTGCCTCCGATCTCGAAAAAAGACCTCAGTGGACACTCTATAGTATCGTTCTGGGCCGACAAAACGTTTGGGCTACCCGCCGAGTGTTCAGGTTCTCATGGTTCTGGCACAGCGGCTTTCTCCAGTCGGCTTAGCGCTTCGTTGTGTTCTTTGGCTCTTCGCTCCTTTTCTACCGCTTCATACTCCTTGGCCATAGTCAACGTAATTTCGTGCTGTCGGTTGAGTTTGCGACGCCACGCTAGCGCATCGGACTGTCTACTGTTTTCTCGTCCGAGTGTTGAGACATCGCCCGGAGCGTGGATTGCGCGTCCCAGCCGTGAACGAGGTAAAACGACGTCTCCTTCCTTGTTGTATCCTGGGAGGTGTTAATTGCAAACACCAGCCTCTCAGCGATCTCATCCCAATCCTGCTGAAGAGGGTCCTCCGCGTACACCCGAACGGAAGTCATCACCAACTTCACTGAGCGTTCTTGTTAGCCGTTGGCCTGCGGTCGATAACTTAAAGTCGCTCGTGGTCGTGACTGCATCATCTAGGCAAACGCTAGGAAAACCTCGCTCATAAACCTGGGGTCACGGTCATGCCGAATCAACGATCTGCTCCGAACCATCGGTACACACACTCTTCGAACACTCGCCCTACACTGAGCGCAGATGTGTCGGACATAGCTTTAGAAATGACGAATCCAGTGAACGAGCATTAGAATAGTAACAGGGCTGTGTTGCCCCTGCGTGTCTTTGGTAGAGATATAATAAATTCCATTGAGACTATCTGGAACTGTCGTTCGACCAGTACATTGCCTGGTGAGTATCCTTGCAACTGTGGACGACTCTTACTTGAGCTGCAATCTAGGCACGACTTTACATATTTCACCACGTCAGCGTACAACCCAATCCAGTAATAGTCGGACTTAACACGGTGGAAGGTCCTGACGACGCCTTGATGACCACCTTCCAACGAGTCGAGGCAGTTCTGTAATACTTCTGGAATCATCGTGGTAGGTACCACTAGACGCAGCTTGGTCTCCTCTTGCCACCCGTGGTCGTATCGTCGATTCAAGCCCAGATAGTGAAGCACATCGTCCTCTGACAGAACGAATCGGTCTGCATATTTCCATGCATTTCGAGCTTCTTTGTAGCTCATTTGTTCTGCTTCTCCTCGAAGAACTTTCTTCAGGCTCGCCCACTTCTGTT